AGCTAGAACCATGGATGGATGGATCATACGGAGATGATCAGAGTTCTATCCAGAACTTCGGTGGCTTCCTGCGTGGCACCGATAGCATGCGTCCAGCAACATTGCTTGGAAGCGGATCCTTGCGGTAGTGTAACACAGTAGCAGCTATATATCTCCATTATTGCGTGTCCATGATGTGCACTCGTGCAGTTTAGATGTTTCATTATAAAGTCTACTGTGCCGGTGCCGGAACCTCCCAACTTGAAACAGTTTTTTCAGCTGCGTGCGTTCATGATTGCTCCTGGTCTTTTCAATTGGCAATCTCTCGTTGGTTCGTCACGACTTCTGTGATTGTCACCACGTTATTCTGAAAGGTCTTGTGACGGTCTTCCAAGAAGCTTCCCAGACCACTAAACATGTTGGACACGGCCCCAAAGAGTCCTTCTTCGTGCTTGGCCGGTAAGCAGTTGCATTCAACGATGTGAGGAGGCACCTGCTGCCGTTGATGTCCAACGTCATCTTGGGGTTTGGTTCCTACAGGAACCTTCCTGTTCCACAACCAGAAGACATTGTCAAAGGTGCTCGAGTCAGAACTACTACTGGAGCCAATGCTATGCGAGTCCTCTTGTCCTTGACACTTATACTCATCGTCCTTGTCGTCGCCAAAATCTGAACCTGAGAAAAAGGACGAATCATCTTCTGCGGTAGTACTGCTGGTATCGTCTGTGTCCTCCATACTCTTCTTGTCTATGTCGTTCTCTTTGTTTTGGTCGTCTTCCACCCAAGCACTGTCCACACCCCATTCACTCAGTGCTCCTGCTGTGATTCCACTGGTGCAGCCAACTCCAAAGGCCACGACTCCAGCCACGGGTAGACTGGCTCCCGCAACACCCACCATGATTGCTCCCGTCACCACTTGTCCCACAACACTGGCCGTAGTGGCTGATCCAAACACGGCCAAACCCTTGACCACTTCTTTGGAGTTCTGGGTGTGCAGTCCAGTGCCCACTCGATTGGCCGTAATGGCGCCTCCGGCCAAATATCCTGCAATGCCACCTCCACCCGTCACGGTCACCACTAAATTGACCAACGCAGTGCGGCCCAACGCACGAACAATCTTCCCATCGCCTCCTTGGTGAGGGTCAAAGTCAGACCAGAATCCAGTCCAAACGGTATGGTCCACTGGAAGATGGGTGGTGGTCGATGTGTTGGTTATAATGGCTTGCGACGACGACGAGATGTTACTTGGTGTGGAGGCAGAAGAATCGATTGAATCAATCATTCGATTTGACGAACCTCGCAATTCAACTGATGGAAGAGAGTACCGTTGAAATGTGAAGGGAGTATATGTACTCTTCGTTTTCTACTGTACAGCAGCATATTCAAGGGATGCATGATGGATGATGAGTCAATGCTTCGTCCCCTGCGGTGAGCCAGTTTCATGGATCATCTATGAACCAAAATATAAATGTGGCTGAATCAGATTCAGAGCTCTCCCTCTGCGGTGATCCTGAGCTGGCCTTGACTTTTATGACAACGAAACATGGATACCTGAATTCTGCACGAACGCCACGTCATGCCATTCAAGGAAAGTGGAGTTTGGGATGACTACTAGCTACCGCTAGCTAGCTACCTGCGGTACTAGCTAGCAGCGCAACTGGAGGTTTTCAATGGCACAGCTGTGCAATTCCCAATGACTGTGGTCGTAAGTTGTCAAGCAATTCTCACCAAGCAACTTGCAGTATCTGGGGTGGGGACACAGAGTTGGAAACCATGGCTTGATTACTGCTGCCCACTGAGCTATCATCGTATGTGGTGCGACCTTTCTACCGGAAGGTAACAGAATTGCTTTTTTCAAGCTTGACCGCAGCGGTCCCCACGGTCACCATCGGGGTGCCGCCGTGCGGCCCAAGGCACACAATCAAAATCAGAGGCTCCTTCGAATGATACAGTCGGTACCGGTACCGGTACAGCTAGCTGTTGGTACCGATAGCTTCCGTAGGTAATCTACCTACTAGCTAGCCTACGCTAAACAGCTCTCTAAACCCCCTTTCTCTCAGATGAGTGAGGAGTAGAGATGTAGAGATGGACCACTTTATGGCATCGAAGTCTTAACAGTATTAGTCTAGCTAGCAGTATTAATATTGCATCCCTTGGGGGGTGCCTCAAACCAACTCTGTTTACCTGATTGTTTCCCCAACCACCAGATATCAAGCTTTTGTGTGCTCGCCAAACGAGCGATGGTGGTGGAGAGTGGTGCAGCGTGGTGACAATCGCAAAAACCTTAAGGATGGTAAACAGGCGGTGAACAGGCGGTAAACAGGCGGTGAAAAGACGGTAAAACAGGCGGTTGAAGGCGGTCGGACGCGGTCGAAGTGGGTCTAAAGTGACTAAGGTTGGTTAATAATGGCTACCAAGGCTAAATGATTTCAGGAAGGTGGGAGAAGATAGAGCATGCCATACAGAGTTGGTTTGAGGCATGCCCTTGAATTCCGGATCTCTGAAGCTTTTAATTCGTACGGTGTGGCATGGCAGACATTGGCAGAGTGAGGCGTGCACAAAAGTAACTGTTGTCAACGAAAATTGTCTGCAAAATACTAATAAAAGAAGTAATACATATGCATACAATCATACAATACTTGAAGTGTTCCGAGAAGTGTTTGGGAGCAGAAGTAAGTGTTCCCAAATTTGCAGAGGAACGTGATTCTCAGCTTGCCTTTTGACATGGCAGACATTGAATGCAGGGATTCTCAGCACGGTCATTGTGACCTGGATCATGCATTAAATTTTTGTCTTCTAAATCTTTGTGATACTGTAGTTGTGAAGCTGCTGTGCGACTGTACCAGTAGTTGTGAGGCTTCCGTTCAGTCTTCTATAATTAAGAGCGCCGTCACTTTTTGAGTGCTTCAACCCCGAAGCACAACCACAACAACAACAACAGAAAACTGTGCTTCCCTGGAATGCAGATACTAGTATGCAGATGCCTACACAGTCTTCTAAAGGTGAGGATGTATTGACAGGTCCATCGATAGGCAGCATAAAACAGATGTCGACATTGGCTCCTGCAGCTGCCATGGTGGAAGACCAATCTGATCAGAAGGAAAGAGCAAAGGACAAAGTGGCTTGTTTATTGGGGAGCGGGCATGCTGAGGAAGAGGAGGGATGCCATGGCGTGTTCTCCATAGTGAATCCATTGGAGGACATCCAGGCACTTCCCGCGTCTCGCCTGCCACAGTTCGGCGTCCCTGGAGCCCATGCTGTACGTGGTCCCTACCGGTATGCTGTAACTGGTCCTGGACGCTCGGTAAGTAGTGAGAATCCTCAAGCTCAGCACCACGAAGACCAACTACAGGTGAGCAGTGCACAATTGGTTGTTGAAACAGACGAAGAGAACGGAATCATGGAGCACAGCTCCAGCAATGGTGATGCTCCCACTGAAGTGATCGAGGGAAAGCTCATGGAACGCCAAGAGACACACTGCAGATTCATTGGATGGCTCCTAGTATTTGGGTGCGTCCTGGTCCTGGTAGTACTGCTCATATTCCTGATCCCAGTGTTTATGGGTGAAGAGGGCTCTGCGGACATGGAGCCAGTGATAATGGGCACGTCCAATCCAACCCAAGAGCCCCATCGTCAACCTGCTTTGGATATTGAACTGCCAGAGGTGGCAAGAAGAGGCATTGAAGAAGATGCCGAGAGTCCTTTTTTTAAAGCCGCCCAGTGGCTTCTCCATGACCCAAATTACCATTTGTACTCTCAAGAACAGAAAAGGCAGCGGTTTTACCTTTCCATGCTTTACTATGCTACCAATGGAGCTTCTTGGACCAACAACTCCAATTGGCTCAGCTATGAAACATCTGAATGTCTTTGGTTTGCAAGAAGCAGTTTCCCAGCTGATAGCCCCTATTATGAACCCAACATATGTCAGAATGGCACTGTGATCAACTTGAGCTTGGCGTCAAACAACTTGACTGGTGATTTCCCCCTTTGGTACACCTCGTTTCTCCCCAAACTGAAGATCCTTGATTTTGGCCAAAATAGGATTGCTGGACAGCTTCCAACAATGACAAGCATTTCAAGCCTGGAGGTTGTTATCATGTCAAACAACCCTTTGACAGGTGCACCTTCCATCAGCAGTGGCGCCATGTTTGACAATTTGAGAGTGCTCAAGGTAGATGGAACATTCATTCGCGGGAACAATGGAGGCGCACTCCCATACATTACCCCCAAATTGGAGGTTTTCAATTGCACAGCCCAGCCCAATGATGGTCTGATGTGGTCCAGCATTGGAGTTCTCACAAACTTGCAGTATCTGGGGTGGGGACACAGAGTTGGAAACCATGGCTCGATTCCCACTGAGCTAGGTCGTGCAACCTCTCTAACAGAGATTGATATTTCAAGCATGACCAAGCTCGAGGGAAGCATCCCCTCCGAATTGGGGCTGCTCACTCACTTGGCCAAACTAGACATCTCAGACACCCCTATCACAGGAGCGGTACCTGCCGAGTTGTGTCATAGAATTGAGGACGGGTTGCTGGAGCTCTCAGTGGACTGTGGAGATATGTTGCAGTGTTGCCCATCCTCCGAAGTATAGTGTCGACAAAAACAGGAAGGCGAAATCTTTTATCTATACTTGCACATAGAATTTTCAATCAAACATGGCTGCACATTGGCTGCTAGTTGAGTTTTGTGGTCTGCGTACATTGTAATTGATGTTATTGCTAGCTAGTGAGGCCTACAGCAAAGACGTCGTAACCTTCGTTCTCCGCGTCTCCGGTTTGCATCGGGGAGCTTTGATGTTCGTGCAAGCTTGCCAATGCAACGATGCCTCAATTGCGTAATATAATTTGTCCAGACAATTAAAACATCGCCGAGTCGGATTGTTTTCCTTTCAAATTGTCGGTTGGTTCGAGGTCAACGACACCATCGCTTCGCGTGAGCTGCTCAAGGATTTTCGCGTTGCCCGATGCATCAAGGATTGCTGGCGAAAGGGATGCAGAGATTTTCTCCGACAGAAACAATTCCTACTTTGTAAAACTCCTAGCTTGCTGCTTCAAACCAGAAGCCAACGGACACATCATCTCGTACCCGTTTTCGGTGCACGATTACGATGAAAGGCAATGGACATTCTTGTGCTGTGTTGGTACGCTGAACCCCTCACTGTCGCTTCTGTTACATGCAAGGACAGTCATCACACCCACACAACTCGGGGCAGTCGTAGGGAAGGTAAATAAGATTTTGACACCACTCGAGCGGAAGCGTTCCAGCGAGGCTTGTTCCCATAACCTCTGCAAAGTCAAGCATCCCTGTCCCATTCTTTGCCAGCACCCCCAAAGCGCTTGGGATTGATCCAGCAAGGTCCGGATTATTGTTCAGATTGATGGAACGCAGATTAGATAAGAGTCCCAATTCTGAGGGTATTGTAGAACTCAGACCATTATCCTGAAGACTCAGGCTGGCTAACTCGGACAATAATCCAAGCTCAGTGGGAATGCTGGACGTGAGCCTGTTCCCCGACAAGTCCAAATCCAAGAGTACGGTCAACCTGGCAAGGGATGGTATGCTCCCAGCGACAAAAGTCTTGCCCAACATCAAATTAACCAACTGAGAGAGGGAGTTCAGTTCTTTTGGCAGGGAGCCTGAGAAACGATTGCTTCTCAGCATTAGCCTTTCGAGGTTGGTCATCTTTCCAATCTCCGATGGAAGACTTCCTTCCAGCAGACCGTCATCAAGGTTCATGAAACGCATGTTGGACCATGCAGTAAATAGAAGCGGTGGCAAAGTGCCAGTTAACTTGTTTCGCTCCAATGACAATTCGTGTAGATCTGTCAATAGCGACATTTCAGGTGGAATTGGTCCGGCCATTGAATTGCCCCCCAAGTACAGGTTGACGTAGTACCCAGCTCGATTGCATACACCTTTGTTTCCCAAATGGTTCCTGTTGAACCAGACACATTCGTGCCTATCATAGCTGAGCCACTTTGCATCCACAACTCGAGGTGGGGACAACATTTGCCCTCGACTTTGGTTGCCAATGATGGGTGCAGTAATGGGATCGCCTATGGTCAGTGGTGGTGGAGGCGGCGGACGATCTCCAATGGCCGGAGGAGGTTGCTGTAACGAACCGTCGGGCATTGGAGGACTAGCCGCCAACCCCGAACTCACATTGGAGGGTGCTTCCAACTTCAACCATATAGATCCATTCAGATCCACATCAGTGGGACCTTCCGTTTGTGGAGCATGCATGTCGCCATCATACAACCAGTTTTCCCCCAGAGTGGAATAGTAGAATGAGGCCAAGGCAAAACGTTGCAAGAGTCGGTTCAAGGGAAACTCATGAAAGTTTGGGTCTTGTAGCAGCCATGTGTAGGCTCTAGCCTGAGGTGTTGCACCGTTGTAGTCCGTCAAGATGGTTTCCTTTGTAAAATCCGGCAAGTCGTTCAGCAGAAACTCTGTGATTTGCACGGAGGGGGAGGGAGCTGCGGTACCGTTATTAATGGTCAAGTTCATCCTGTCCGTGTCGTTGAGACTGCTGCCTGGTGTTGTCCGGATTACCGTGGTAGTGGAGCCCTGCCTCAGACCCAAGACAACTCCGAGGACAATGCCAATAATCACGAGAAATGTTGCGCACAGTCCCATAACTTGAATCATTCTGTTCTTGCGCTGCTGCTGTCGTCTGTGTTCTGGTTGGTAAGCTTCATCCACTTCGGACAGATCCAGCTGAGAGGCTCGGAATACGTTGCTGGGATGAAACCGCTCCGAGACTGGTTGTGCTTCTACCAACCCTTCACTCGGATGGGGCGGCGGTGATAGTTAATCTGTATCTGTAACACTCACGGAAATAACAGAATACTCATTATTGTTGTTGTTGTTGTTGTTGTTGGAAGGAGTGACTACCATGGCTTCCAGTTTCTGTGGTTGGGCATTGGCCAATTGAGTGGCATGAAACGTTTGGCGCCGTCTTGCAGATTCCCCAGGACGTCTGTGATATGCTCCGGGTCGCAAGAGTGCTGCTGTTTGCGTTTGTGGTGCCGTACTATTGGCTTGGTGGGCACTACTCTCTTCCTCTGTAGGCTGCTCTTCTTGTGCTGATGCTGTGGCAGACACAGGTTGATGCACATCATGTTCCGTTCCTGCCACCTTGCCGTTTTTCTTCGTCTCCCGGCTAGCTGTAGTATCAATAACAAATCCGCTACTAGCACTATTCAATGCCAGGTGGGCTGCAGCCACCCGGGTGTCAAAAAACTCCAGTTGATGTTGGTGGGTTTTGCTATCCTCATTGACATACAACGTTGGTTGTTGTTGTTGTTCTGATGCGTCACGAGGGCGTCTGCTGGACGCCCCTGGTCGCTTGGACTGGGTTCTTTGTGTCTGAGTTGCCTTGGACTTGTTGTTGTTGGCAGGCTGTTCTTCTTGTGCTGATGCTGCGGCAGACACAGGTTGATGCACATCATGTTCCATTCCTGCCACCTTGCAGTTTTCCTTCGTCTCACGGCTAGCTGTAGTTTCAACAACAAATCCGCTACTAGCACTATTCAATGCCAAGTTGACTGCAGCTACTTGGGTGTCAGACAATTTTGCCTCAGTTTTCTCCTTCATGATGGTATCGTCGCTTCTCATTGCTCCTTTATCAAGATGTCTTGCTGTTGGTATGGCTTTGACCGATCTGTTCGGCGGAGAATGTGCCCTCTTGTGCTTGACATTACTAAGGGTGGTACTAGTAGGAACAAGATCGCGTGGCTGTGCCGACAGCACTAACTGGACCGCCGCTTCCTGTGAAGCCGAGAGCAAGGCATCTTCTTGGCTTGTCCGCAACTCTTCCCTTTCACTGGCACTACTACTAGGCTCGACAGCACCCACCAAAGAGCTCTTGGCGTAACCTTCTTCCTTGCCCATGTTTCTTTGCCTGACAACAAGTAAGTGTTCCTTTTGGCTCATCCCTCTTGCCATGCATTAATTGCTGTCCGCGCAATCTGTACACGTACCGGTACCGGTTGGCAGAATTGCTTCTGCGCCTACCGACGGTAACGCTTCTGTTCTGTGATTCAAATCCTACTTCAACTGGTACAAATCGCGTTAAAATAGTTTGCAGAAGGTTGTCATTCTTGCAGCTGTCGTGCTCCCGTGACCAGTTTCAGATTCAATTCAGTTGTTTCAGATTCAATTAGACGCACAGCTGCTCATTTCTTGAGGCCCTGCGAATGAAAGGACACATAGCATGAGGTGAAGAAGCAGCATTAGAGGACTGTGAATGAAATGTAGTTCTCTCGCATTGGCGGTAAATCTTTACACATTCATCCCATCCAATCCCGCCTTCCCGCCTTGCACGCTTCTTCAGCAACCGACACACTACAGTCGTACCGGTACCGGTAGCTGTACTGGTACAAACGCCAGATGTTCATCTCATTCATACGTGTTCATTATTGATGTACTAGTAGCTTTTGATGCATCCATTGGTCCCCAAGACCTCTTGGTACATGTACAACAAACACCAGTGAATGGAAGCGTGTGAGTTGCTGTCGCTGTTAGTTGAGCAGCGAAGTTTGTTATCCACGCTTTCAGGAGAGAGTGGCCAGCAAAGAAGAGGTGGAGCTCAGTACTAGGTTCCGTGGGAAGCTCTTTGTATTATGGACCAAAACATCACGGCGGGCTCTTTGCATCTTGCATCCCAACCAGCAATCCACAAATCATCCTTGGGTGATGTTTCTATGGGAAAAGAAGAGTCGACAAGACAAGGATGAGTTCCAACGATGACAATGGCAATGGCAACGACCAAACGGGAGGCGACCACAACGAGGGGCACGGTTCGACCCTGACCGTGCGGGAAAGCCAGGACGAGAATACCGAGGAGGGTAGCCCGTTCGTTCCTACCGAATGCATGTGCAATTCTGATGAAATGGTTGCCACGCAGTCGGGAGACGATAGTCTAGTTCCGCCGCCAGCGCAACGACCTGTCCACTCTGAACAGTCTGGGTGGGAAGATGCTGGTACAAAAGTTTCAATGGTGGTGGGCGACGGCGATACGTTTGCTGCCGCCAAAGTGGTGGTGAGCACTCAAGAACCCACGCTGCATCGGGGGAAAGTAGTAATGATGGACATTAGAGCTGCCACACCAGCACAACAGGCCATGACGGACTTGGAGGAGGGAAAACCTGATGACTTCCCAAATGCTGGCAATCTGCAACAAAAACAGCCCACGACACAACAAACAACGATGCAAACAGCAGAAGATGTCGAGACATTCCACGCCCTCATTGTCGGTGAAATTCAACCACTGCCCACGGACGACGCCATTGGGAGTGGTCGTCCCGGTGCATTCCCTGTGGCGGGAACGCCCCACGAAAGACTCCGACCGTCAAACCTGTCCGAGACTGTACTAGACATACAAGAAGAAGAAGAACCAGCTGTCATTGAGGGTGCTGTGTTGGTGTCTGGGGAAGAAGCCAATGAATTTACAGACCTAGAAGATACAAGCGTTACCGTTGCTTGGGAAGAACCAGCAGAAGTACTGGAAGGCAAGATACTACCCGAGAGGAGTGGTGCGGATGCAACAGTACCTGGCCATTTCTGTCTCTTACACAAGCGCACTATAGCCATTGTCGCAGTGGTGCTATTGTTGTTGGGCATTCTCTTGAGTCTCTTGTCGACCTCACTGCTTCCTTCATCTAGCTGTGAAATGTTGACAAAAGGCACTTCTTGTCACCGCAACCAGACAGACTCCACGACAACCGCCATAGTCTTTGAACCTTTTCGACCAAACTTGCCACCCTCTGTGATTACTGGAATCCAGGAGATTGCAAGTCCCTACTACCTGGCCAATGCCTGGATGCAGCAAGATCCACACTTGCATACATACTCTGATAATAGGCAAATGCAGAGATTCAAAATGGCCCTGTGTTACCATGCTTTGGGCGGGCCCCTCTGGTACCAAAACGATCATTGGTTGTCCTACACAGTGCCAGAGTGTGAGTGGTTTACAAAACACAATGCTACAGAGGAACCGATTTGCAATGAAAACCACGAACTTGTCATTTTCAACATGACATCCAACAACATGACGGGCCAGTTCTTTCAGAGCACAAACTTGAACTGGCCCAATGTACGTGTTTATGATATCTCCTTTAACAACCTGTATGGATCTCCACCCGCAATGGTCAGTGCTGGTGCCAGCAACTTGGAAGTCTTGGTGATTAGTCACAATCAATTCCATGGTAAATTGTCCGCTGGGGGAGGTTTCTCTGCCTTCAATTTGAGGGTTGTTAAACTGGACAGCAATCGACTGTTCGGCTACCAACCAATGGTGTACCTCTTGCTTCCCAAATTGGAAATTCTGAATATCAGTGGGAACTTGTACGGCAGAGAAATCACCACCTACCTCAAGCATTGCAAGAACCTAACCTACCTTGGTGTAGCCGACAATGTCTTCACAGGGGCTATCCCATCTGAGCTGGGTTTGCTGACTCATCTTCAGAGCATTGATGTTTCTGGCAATGCAGAGGTGGATGGAGTGGTACCAACTGAACTGGGACTGTTGCCCAACTTGAGTACACTGAACATTGATGGAACAGCCATACATGGTGATATTCCAGAGTCTCTTTGTTCTAGGATTGACAATGAATCTGAACCAGCTTCTGAGATGATTTCAGCCACTTCTGATAGGATGACATTGAAAGTCAAGGCCAACTGCAGCCAAGTTCAGTGTTGCTTCTGAGATAGACAATCACGATCCTCGTCTGGCATTCATTCGAGGGCAGGCTCTTGCAACGATACGATACACGTGTGCACCTAATTCTGGCGGCACAGAATCAACGATTCGATTCAGAAATAGAAGCTTGAAATGAACTATAGTCCTCTGGTGGTGGTCTCGTGCAAGGCTGGGTGGTCTCGTGCAAGGGCTATCCCCGCCTCGTTGTTCTCATACCCACACGTTTCTATTTTGCAAATCCTGATCACTGCGTCTCCAGGCTGGACCGCTTCGAGCTGAGATGATTCAATTGATTCCATTCTACTAACTAGATTCAAGTTCAATGGCTAGAATTGGGCCAACAGGGCTGACGGGTAGAAACAGATAGACACTGCGCATGTTGGTGCCCAACGATTTGAGGGGAGAAACTAATCGGATGAAGGAAACGAATCACCGAAGATCCATGATGAACGAGAGGGGAGAACGCCCTTGGGACATGAAATCTGACGTTCTGTTTGACCAATTTTAAAATCGAGGGAGGGCGCACGCGAGACCAGCGCATGATGCAGAGGATCCATCGCGAGAGGGGAGAACGCCCTTGATACATGAATGCAATCTGACGTTTCTGTTCTGACAATAGCGAAAGATCGAGGGAGGTTGCATGCGAGGTCAGCGCATGATGCAGAGGATCCATTGCGAGAGGAGAGAACGCCCTTGATACAAGCAACATGAAATCTGATCATTAAAGATTGCTTTCAAGAAACCGAAATGTCAACAAGATCGAGGAAAGCCGGGCGCCTATTGATACGTTGCTTCTGGTATAATCCAGAGCAGGGCAGGTTATGCCGGATCTTTGAAGGATACCAGCTGGTGGCTCGTACGGTACGCTATAGAATCGAAGAGGGATCTTTCATTGACCACTTTCCTTGGGCAACTCCAACCTCTCACAATTTCAGGATACGTCCAAATAGCAAACACCCAACCTAACATGAAGCTTCTTGGGAACTTTCTTTCGGTGTCGTACGTGTGCTTTACCTTCCTCGCGGCTGCTTTGGCTGATGCAGACGGAGCCACTGGAGATTCAGTTCTCGGAGCGTTGCCCGTGATCGGACCCATTCGCATTGGAAAGGGAACTCTCATCACTGAAGCCGTACAGCAGCAAACAGGGAAAAGGTTGTCTATCTCCTCTGACAAGTTCACTTCGCACTCCAGCGTCCATGCGATGTACGATGGCACCTGGATCTCCTTTGTTGACACTGTTGGCTGGGGCGACGGCGATGGAGAGAGCGAAACTGCTATGCTGAACATGTTGAAGGAGATTGACGATAAGGACATCTATCCTCCTCTTGTCGTGATCTGGTCGTTGGACGCGTAAGTGTATGCTATGCAAGTCCACTACTTGAAGTATCTATTACTAACCGAATCGAGTCTTCCTCTCGGACACTGACAGGGAGACAAAGCTGTTTTTGGATCGCTTATCAAAGCTGTTCACGCAGTTTGCGATTGCTGTGAGAACCAATGATGACGACCGCGTAGACAACCATGCCGTTGATGAATTGGCACAGTACAAACCTCTTAAAGTGTTCTATCTGCCAGAGTTCTTGAAGGCATCGGCTTCATCCAGTCCCCAGCGAAAGGAATCAGCCAAAGTTTCCCGTCAGGAATACGACCATGCTGTTTCCTCAATCCTCGACTTTTACGAGGGAATGACACCAAAACGGGCCAACATCAACTTTGACGCTGACATGTTCAAGGGAGAGATCGAAAACCAGCTTGTGAAGACGGAAAGGAAGGAGGAAGAGGAAACCGCAGAGAAGCCATTCACTGTTCATCGACAGAAAGACGTTGACTACGAGCGCCCGGATCGTACCCTCAAACAAGAATGGGAATGTTGGGAAAGCTGTAGCTTCTGGCGATGCAAAACAAAGTGCAAAACAATAGACTTCTACGAAGATGTAATTGTGAAGGATACCAAGACAGTGACCCTGGACGCCTGGACGTACCCATGAAAAGGACCATCGTCACAAAGAAAACGTTCAAAAGAGATGTGTACGACATTTACAAGAAGCTTGCCAGCGGTATTCAAGTGCTTATTGAGAAGGGCCATTATGGACCTTGGTCAATGGTCGGTGAAGATGTAGTTTCGGACACCTCTGAGGAAGTCGCCGCCGCGTAATGAAACCAGATTGCAGCTTCTCTGGATAGTCGTCGTCGTCGTCGTCGTCGTCGTGAGTAGGACTATGAGAGTACTAGTATGAATCTGGAAATTAAGTCAGCGGGAGCTGCGATACCTCGGCAGAAAGACAGATAGAAGAAGGATGACATGTTTGAGATTGCACGCTTCTTTCAAGGTAGCCCTGGCAACAACACCCGACTTCGCCGTGTGTTGCCGCCCCGTATCATTCCCTCATTATAACCTTCTTCTTTTTTGTTTAAGCTACCCCTGGCGACAACACCCGACGAACCATAATTTTACAGCTGTCACTCCTCTATGTACCTGTAACTATTGTAGCTTCGGCTGGCTTAATGTATTGAGTGCACTAACCTTGAATAATCATGATTTATTCCTACCCCTAAATCTGTAGAACCTTCAATTTCCAGTTTTGTTGGCTTACGCCTATCTCTACCCCTATATTTTGGCTTCACCGGAACAGGAAACAGGAAACAGGAAGCAGGAAACAGGAAACAGGAAACAGGAAATACCAAAAAGGGGGTGAGGGCTCAAGTCAGCGGGAGCTGCGATACCTCGGCAGAAAGACAGATAGAAGAACGATGACATTTTTGAGATTGCACGCTTCTTTCAAGGTAGCCCTGGCGACAACACCCGACTTCGTCGTGTGTTGCCACCCGGTATCATTCCCTCATTATAATCTTCTTGTTTATTTAAGCTAGCCCTGGCGGCAACACCCGACTGCCGCCCGCTAACCATACTTTTACAGCTGTCACAATCATATGTACCTGTAATTTTTGTAGCTTCTGCTGGCTTATTGTGTTGAGTGCACTAACCTTGAATAGTCATGATTTATTCCTACCCCTAAATTTGTAGAACCTTCAATTTCCAGTTTTGTTGGCTTACGCCTATCTCTACCCCTATATTTTGGCTTCACCGGAACAGGAAACAGAAAATAGGAAATTGGATAGGAAATACCGAATAAGGGGGTGAGGGCTCAGGCAGATAGACTGCCGAGATCAAAATTGAAATTGTGAGAAACCGAAATTCACCAAAACAGGGGGATCCCACAGACACAAAATTTGCCATTAAAGGGGTAGAGGACTCAGGCAGTTAGACTGCCGAGATCAGGCAGATAGACTGCCGAGATTATTTGTAGTAGTGGATGGCCTGTAGTATTGGTGGACTGGATCTTTGAAACGACTAATGGCAAAAGTTGCGTCTTTTCAGGCTGTCTCCATCCACGAGCTGCTCTCCAGCAAGATTCCGAAACGGGACTTAAAAGGTGTTAGTTTCACGCTTTTTGTTAGTTTCACGCTTTTTGTTAGTTTCACCCTTTTGTTAGTTTCACGCTTTTGGGTTAGTTTCCCGCTTTTTGGGTTAGTTTCACGGTTTTGGGTTAGTTTCACGGTTTTGAGTTAGTTTCACCGTTTCAGTCGTGTTTACATTGATTTACTATGACAGGATTGTACTTAGTTTCACGCTTTTGAGTTAGTTTCACCGTTTTTGAGTTAGTTTCACCGTTTCTGAGTTAGTTTCAACGTAATGAGTTAGTTTCAAGGAAATCGGGAATTTCCGTGAAACTAAGAAATGGTGAAACTAAGAAAACGGTGAAACTAAGTTTTTAATCACGTTTCGTGACCTTGCAGATGATGGCTTTCAGTTTCCTTCGTAACAAACAACAGCAGCAATAATATTTGAAAAGTGAGAGCTTGAAGCTTCCACGCTCTTAGCCACTGAATGCGACGGGATACAGCTTACAATTCAGCTTTACAGCTTTACAATTAGCAGGCTTATTCTAGAAAATAATCAATAACTGCTCACTTATTTGGAAATACAAACTTTACATCTCTTAGATCGTTAGATTAATCAGTACACAATGGTATTGTCGCATGGTAGCATGCGAGGTTATGAGATGTTACTCATTCTTATTCTTATATGTCTATCCCTTGTTATCATCAGTGGTAACCCCTTTTCTCGACTGGATTCGCTCGCAGGCAATCCCCTTGTCGATCCCCTGGATTCGCTCGAAAGCAATCTCTCTGTTCTTATTAACGATCGTAATCTCAATAAGGATCCTATCTTGGATTCGCTCGAAAGCAATCCCCTTGATTCGCTAAACGATGGACTCCTATGGGAGTCCACCTTTTGCAATCCCCTTGATTCGCTAAACAATGGACTCCTATGGGAGTCCACCTTTTGCGATCAACCAAGCGCTACTAATACTGCTACGGCTACTACTACTATTGCTTCTATTGCTTCTACTGCTACTACTGTTAACTCCATCGCGACTATCACCGGCAAAGCCTTGGCCATGCTCAGCTTCAGCATGGATCGATCGATCGGCCGAGTTAACAGAATTCATCGAAAAGTGAGATCCGTCTGCATATATGCGGATCGGCTTGTGTGTCATGCCTTGAGTCATGCTTCGAGAGCTATTTCCCTCTCTATTATCGGTTCGAACCGGCTGAGTCATGCTTGTGTTATATCTTCGCAAACCCCTCACTTTTTCATTTTGGATACGTACACGAGCGATCGATCGCTCCGTGTTGTTGTTGTTGCAGTTGGTCGTTTGAACCGGCTTGCATGTTGTTCGAATCTAAACGACAGCGGCAAAGATAACAGCACGAGCGATCTGTTAACAGTTTCGAAGCTAGTTTCAAAGCTACTTTATGTTAAAAGAGACATCGGATGTTACACAGGTCTGAAGAATCATTTTGGGAATTGACAAGTATGAGTCTGGGTCTGGATCTGGATCAAAATGTTTTGGCCGATTGAAGCGTGAAGAACAAGTTTGGTGATGCAAGAGAGCCACTGAAGAATAGTATAAACCTTTGAATCTTTAGAAGCAAGTTGTATAAAACCAAAGAAAGACAAACGAGCAAATCCGGCACCAGGAGACATAGACCAATGTAGGATATGGTGGGGAAAGATATGGGAGCAGAGACAACATCAGCCATATTTAGCGGTGAAACTGAAGAAAAGTTGCTCCCTCCAAAAATCAGGGCTTGGAATTCAAGTGTATTTGAAACATGTCTGTATAGCAGACTACATCTTCTCCCTCCAATACAAGAAAGGAATGAGACCCGAGATAGAAGGTAAAAATGGGCCAAAAGAATAGGCAATGAGAAACATGTTTGCCAAGTGTGTTATTTGGAAGCATCACATGAAAGCCCATTGAGGTAGCTGAAGAGAGCGGAGGTCTCATCAGAAATGAGATCTACTGCTGCCATGTTGACCTGCATGAATCAAATCATACCCAACATTGGGATGGCGTGTATAAACTCATCAGTGGCTAGAACAGGGACATCAGAGCGGACATAGGTAATCATGGCGGAAGAAGCAAGGTTGCCACCAGCAGTGATTGGGGCTGAGCTGGAGCAGCGGTGGTGGAGGAGTTTGCCACCAGAAGAGGGTGCCTTGTAAGAAACTTGCGGAACCCACGATGTTCACTGGTGAAATGAGCACTGGTGCCTGGGAAACCTTCCACAGTTGCGACAGTATTTAGCAACAACCTTCCCATCAACAGAAATGGTGTGTTGGGCATCATCGGGAATGTTCTCCTTGGAGGCATGGAAGCAAGCTTGTCTTTGATAAGAGTTGTGAGTTTGGAGTTGGTTTCAGCACTCAGACCGTTGTCCTTGGGAGCACCTCGCTTGGGCATGCTGGATCGTTTCTATGATGATCAGTAGCTCCACAATCAAAGCAGGCGCCTCCACAGGACGGGTACCGCCACTGGCTGATCCACTGTTTCGATCCTGATGAGACTCCCAACTTTTGCCTCAACTGCTTTGTCAATTGCTGCCTGGAAGGCTTGGCCTGGGATCCCTTGGATCCAAGATGTTGGGCAGGCTCATAAGTTTTCTGGTTGATGAGGACCCGATAGAGGGATCCAAGTCATTCAAAGTGTCGAGTGCTTCCAATTGTTTGTTCCATAGTTGCTATCAAATCCGTTGATGTCACTCTTGACAACAAGCTCATGGACTTTGGATCGAAAGTATGGACAACCACAGCCAAGGAGACCCCTCAAAGATGTTGCTGTTAGTTCAGGCATGGATCACTGGACATAAAGTTTAATCGAATCTCTTTGATGATCTTGCTTGCATCGACAACATACATGGAAACATTCTCCCAGGGAACTTGGTGATGTCCAAGTGAAGTAGCTTGCTTTAAGGGTTTCAATCTTACTGAGAGAAGGTCTGTATATCTTCTGCAGAAGCCAAGAGAAGTTGGGGCCCATTGTGTTTGGCTCTAGGAACATATGATTAATTCTTCCTGGAGTGCATCAGTGCAAGAGTTAAACAGCTTTTCCCGACCAGGCAAGGTTGGTTAGATCATACTGGCAAACAGGAGTTGCTGCAGATCCCCATTGGCATCGATGAGTTCTGACCCCATTGACTGTAGTCCTGATGCCATTTTTCCATCAAAGACTCTGAAACCTGTCCAGGAGCAGTGAACATGTTGATTTATTAATAGTGTTAGTATTAAGGTCTCACACAACAAGCTGGAAGACCCCTTCCATTCCATGCTCGTCATCATACTTTCAAAGGCGAAAGAGAGGCTAGCACATGAGACCAGAAGCATTGGACTCAGTCAGAGTGGAAGAATAGTAGACTGGTGGAATCCTTCAGTCTTTCTTGCATGCCAATTCGATGGCTGGAGTGTGGTGTGATGTTTCAGATGGTCGTCCAATGGAAACCCCTGAGGAATAGGGTGCTTTGAGGTTCCTTTCCCAGTCCATCAGAGCCAGATCCTGTCCAGGCTCCAGTGTGGTTGATACCTCCAAGCCGAGGGCTTCTGTAAGCTTGGTCTTCTCTTTGGTTTTCCCAATGTGCTGGA